TGCTTTTTTAAACTTTCTATATTTTAAAAAAAATTTAACAACTTGATGTATTTTTTGTAATATTTTAAATATCTTGATGCCAACAATAAGGCTTTCACAAATCTAAATAATTAATAATAGCATATTTTAACTAATTATACTTGTAATTTATACATTTTATTTAAAATAAGAACTCATTACTACTGTTAAATGTATTTTTTAATTCATTTTTTTTGGCCAGAAAAACTATTAAAAGCCAGAAAACTAAAAACTTATATGTCAATTTTTTAAAATCATTTAACAGATTGATTTTCTTTAATTCAGGATGTTAAGTTATTAACATTAAAATATAAATATTCTTCACTTCTACTTACAAGCCCCTTATATTGCTTACTGTCCCCCATAATTCACAATGAGATAGCCCCAAAATAGCCCTTAGTAAGTGACCCTGATCAAGCAGGTTTTAGCGTCATTATTCGAATAACTTCATTATTTGGCAAAAGGGCCGAATATTTGTTACATCCCTAATATGAATAATGATTAGTCTAAAAGCTACTTAAAAATCACAGTACAGAAAATGAATACAATTTTCAACACACCAAAAACAAAAATCCATTTGTTTAAAAGAGAAATATTAAGAATGCATACTTTATAACCAAAAGTTAAATCCATCCGGTGATGAAGTGGCTCAGATACATGAGAACTTTCTAAAACATTTCTATGCTTTGCCACAAAATCTTCTGGACTATCACACCACCATAGAATGCCAAGATCATTTAAATCTGAGTGAATAGAATTAAAAATCAGAAGATCGGAAAAAAATTCTGGTACACATTCACCTGGTGTCCATTCCTGCAAAAGAATAAAAAGTTAGAATGAGAAACTGTATTGCAGTGGAAAGTTAACAGTGAATCTAAACATGTAATGACTATAATCATATAATTTTTCTTTAATCCCATAACAGAGAAGATTAATTCTTAATGATACCTTTAGTTAGAGTGTCTACCAAGAGGTCAGTAAGTAAACATTTAAAATTAAACTGTAATAAGCATCAAGGGTTTATTCACTCATAAAATAATCTAAATATATAACTGAACACATATTTATTACATCATAACTATCAATATATGTGTTTTTATCTCAGTTTTCTGGCATAATGTTTTTTTAATAATTTTTGTATCTTTTATCTCAATGAGAAAAAAAGGGTGTCCACAATAAAAAACAGAAGAAAAGAAAATGTTCTTTAAAAGGTTATTTTTAGACAGAAATAAAAATTCACTTTCTTCTACTGTCCTTTCTTTATTAATGATTACTACATTCAAAGGGTTTTGACTATCAACTTATCATTATTTTGTCTTATCTTCCAACCTGATTTAAGTAATTAACTAAAAAACAGAATTCACAGTATTGTTGCTTCATAATTATTACAAGATGAGAAAAACGCAGGAGGGTGCTATTTTATAAATTACTAAAAAAGAGAGGTTGATTCTATAAAACACAGTAATTCGATGTTGTAAATCTGATTATCAAAAAATTATTTTATAAAACATATTTTAAAGTTTAAAAAATCCTTGAAAAAAGTGGATAATTTATTTGTTTTTAGAATTTCACTTTTTCTTTACAAAATTTATATAACTTCAAAGTCTTTATTTCTTATAATTAAATATTATGCTTCTTTTCAAAAGTTAACAGAGAGTTTTTTAACAAAATTCTATGACCGATAAACAACATTCCCTCTCATTTTCATCGAGCAACATGGATAATATTTCATTGGGAGTGAGCAAATAAAAATAAGCTAGCAATTTGCTTTTGAAAAACAAATGACAAAAGATCCTTAAATTAAAATATTTAACATAAATTATGGTTACACATAAATAAAATTTGTCACCTTGTTTTATTCATTTTCTTCTGCATTTATTTGACAAAGTTCAAACAAAACTCAAAGTTTGATGCACCATTGTTTAAATTTTTAAAATAACGACTACAAGCAAAGTAGTTTACATTTTATGTTTACTCTCAATGAAGTAAATTATTGGAATAACTTTTGAGTGGTAAATGATTTGTAACTGAAAATCTGAAATTTTTAAAAAAATAAACAAACTATGTTTAATTTAAGTAGCATCATCTAAGAAAAAAGTATTATTGCTATATTATATACATAAATTAGTCATATTTCACAAAAATAAAAAACTTCAATTATTTAACTCTGCAAACAAAACTTAAAAAAATTAAAAATTTGTCTCTGACAACTAAAATAAAGTTAGCTGAATAAACTTTTATTTGCAAGAATTTTTGACTGAGAACAATTTAATCAATGTAGTATACAAGGTGTGACAAAACTAATGGTTTTTACTCTAAAGGGTAAAAGAATTTAAGAAAGAAAAAAACTTTCAACACACAAGGTGGGCTCAAAAACCAAAGGGCAATATGAAAGAGGGTCATTCTTGAGAAAAAGGGAAAATATAGTAAACAATTTTTTATTCTCGATTGTCAAGAAATCTTGGTTCTTTATTAGTTAGGAATATTTACTGGAAAAAATTTATTGAAAAAAAGAATAAAGCCGAAACAAATTGAATGAAATGGGTGAAACTAAAAATGGCCAAATAGAATTGTTTAGCAATCCGTTCCTACATAAACATATTTGAATTTAAATAAATTACAATTTAATACAATAACAGAAAGTTTAATTTTTTTACATTTCTTTTTTTAAATAACTATACTTGTATTATTAAAGTTTTATGCAAAATTATAAAACCTTTATAACATCGAATTTAAGAGTCGGTTTGAGTACTATTCATATTTCAAAGTATTTGATTATAAAAATTACTATACTATTTACGATATCAAAACACGATTTGTAGTAAAAAATACAATAAGCATGGTATACCACTAAAAGATTAAATTAGTTCCATGACTAATTTAAAAATTTAGTGGGTGGAAATAAAACTAACCAACGAGTAACCAAGTATATAGCTTCATCAAAAGCATGCTGCTTAATGTTCTTTAAAAGAATTCCCAAGAGACGAAGAATTTTTTAAATGAGGTTCATTCTTCATAGTCTTTTAAAAAATAGAAAATTTAAATCTCATTTCTCGAAGCTTATAGAAAAAACAAACAATTAAATTTTCCGTCAAATTTGTTTTGATTACGAAGTTTCTGACTTTCTATTTCTGTTACATGAATTCTTTAATCTTAAATCATATGATCAGCCTGAAATAAAACATCTAGCTCACCTGTTGCTTAACCTCAAGAGACATTCTCATTGTTTAAGAAAAATTCGCGAATGGGAGACAGAGATTTGAAGCAAAACCTGGTAAATGAAATCTTTTAGCGGGAAAGGCAAAAACAAAACACTTGAGTACTAAAAAAGGCAGAGAAAATATGTATTAAAAGTTTTTCAGACTAGCCATCACAGTTTGGTTGTTGTTGTTAATTTACGTCGCACTAGAGCTGCAGAATGGGCTATTGGCGACGGTCTGGGAGACATCCCGGAGGATGATCCGAAGACATGCCATCACAATTTTGATCCTCTGCGGAGGGGATGGCACCCCCGCTTCGGTAGCCCGACGACCTGCGCGCGAAGTCGAGCACTTTACGGTAGCACAGTTTAACGAGGACCAATACCGCACATCCTCGGTCCCTACGCAGACTGATCCAAGTGGTCACCCGCTTACTGACCGCAGCTAGCGATGTCAATTTGCAATTTAACTCCTTGTGGAGAGGGGGTTAGTTAGTTTCCAAGACACTGATTGAGATCATAGATTCGCGTGCTTTTTGACAGCCCTTTCAAAGTAAGCATAGTAGCCAGACTTCGCTGTCCTAAAGATTACAGAAGATAGAAGATTAAAGAGAATGACATAAATTATTACTTTTTATTTTTTAATAATAAAAATATATTACCTATAAATTGTAATTTATCTTTTCTTTGAAGAGGGAAATACCTTTGAAGAGTCACTCCAGGACTTGTTTAGAACATTAATACAAAAAAAATTCAAAAATATGATGTATAATTATTACAAAAAATGAAGAAAACTATTGAAACTTAAAATCTAAAAATTGTGAACAGGATCCTGTTCACAATTTTCACTGCATTCGAATGCAGTTGGTAAAGCTGTGTGGCAAGTTAGATTTGTTGTCCCGGGGGCCATGGGTTCGAAACCCTGTGACGGTCGACATACAAATCTTTTCTTTTTATATATATTATTTTTTTAAATATATTTTTTGATATTTTAACGCGAATCAAGTGATCTGCAAATACAAAAAAAAAAACAATTTTTTCTTCGAGAAATAGCAAATAATAGCTAATAAACGGCTAAATTTTGCATAATTTTTATTTATATATTTATTTTAATTTTAACTTCTTATATTTTTAACTATATTTTTAACTTCTTTTCAATATTTTAAAGCGAATAAAATCTTCTATATGCGAAAAGAAATATTTTTCTTTGTTAAAGAGCGAATAATGGCTGAAAAAAGGACAGAAGTCATATCAGGAGGCACGCACACATCACACCCCGCAAATCACTATAATATTAACCTATAAATTTCAAACTCCGCCCAAAATTAGAATTTATTGTATCGAACAAATGTACTGAAGGATTTTTTTATAGACTGATTAGTGGGCCCACAAAGGGCCAAAATAAGTTTTGTTTACTAACCGGGAGAAGGTGTTTTAAGCTAAATATTCGCGGGGTAGCCATGTGAAGAATGGCGCAGTTGGTAAACCTGCGTGGCAGGCTAGATTTGTTGTCCCGGGGGGCATGGG